TTTGAGTTTTTTTAGATTTCCATCGGATGTAAATCGGCAAGCTGATAGTAATTATCAATTAACATTTAATTATATTTGTTTATTTTAGAAGCTGAGATATTATGTAATTAATTAAATGTTTTATTTTTTTTTAGCATGTGGGCAAATCTTAGAAATAGTTTTTTAGATATACAGGTTGTCTCAAATATGCGCATTAAAATATTCTTTGGTCAGGGGATTTGCCATAAAATTTTCATTCCAATAATAATTTACGAGATAATTTATATAGATTGGTTTTTGAAACAATTTTAGAGTAAATATTTTGTACATCTGAAGTCTCCGCAAATTATTCATATTTTTTAAATGAAAGAATTTTATAATAGCATAATCTATTATAAATTTAGTGGACTGTATTTTTTTATGTTTTTTTATTTTATTTATTTTTTATTATAAGTGGTCGTAATATAACAATATTCAAAATATTATAGACAAAATATTGAGTTTATATTTGAGGGAAGAAAAGTGCCACACCTAGCTTTAAACCACCGTAAATATACAGGGTGGCACATTATTGCGAGGAAGCCCAATATCGTCGTTCTTGTCGAAGATGTGAAAAAAGTTTTATTCATATGTTTCAAGGTTTATAAAGGGTCGTATCCTAAAATATTTTGTTATATCCAGGGTGTCACAAAAAAGTTATGGTAAAGTTAATTTTATTTTTTTTAATTTTACATCATTCTATATACATTATTCTATATAGGGTATTTTTTATGGTGATCGCGTCACCAAAATCGGAATATTTAAAATTGTATATCTCAATTTTTTTAAATGCAACATTCTGTATATTATTTTTCGGTCAGATGCAGAATTAAAAAGTGAACATTTTTTTATTTAAAGTGCTTCTCTAAATTTTTAACGGTTTCGCAGATATTCGCAGTATTTTATTACATTTAGCTCTTTCAACAGTAAATTTTTATCAAAGCCACCTAATATGATCTTTGTCTGATATTTTATTGTTAAAAATCCCATATGTAATGAAATACAGAAAATATTTGCAAAACGCCTAAAAATTTAAGAACACTTTAAATACAAAAAATGTTCACTTTTTAATTCTACATCTGAAAGAAAAATAATATACTAGGTGTTGCATTTAAAAAAAATGAGATACAACATTTTAAATATTTCGATTTTGGTGACGCCATAAAAAATACCCTGTATACGATAAAGTAAATTTTTCGACATGAATTTATTCTGGTGTCCTTGTCATGTTTAAGAAAACATAGCTAAGTATTAATAAAGTTATATTCACTGTAGTTTTTTGCCACTTTTCATATAATATAATGTTTTTAACCAAAGTTTTAGTAAATAAGAAATAGAATGGCAACACCGCAGTGTGCTTTAAATAGAATCCAGTTATCTACAGAAAATTAAACTTGTTTTAAATTTAAAAAAAATTGTAGAAAATCTCTGAAATAGATAATAATATAAAAATATATCATTATATATATTTTCCGCATTTCTTCCCATCAGAAGATTTTCAGATTCAGAAAAATTGTTACCTACACGAAATGTGGAAACATTCTGTTTTCAAGCAAGTTTTTACTCGATGATCAATTTATTTTATTTTATTTTATTGCGAACTCATATTTTTCTAAATACATATCTGTGAAACTACGGCGAGTGCCACGACTACACTTTGCCTAGTTAATAGACCACAACTATACAGCTACGTCAGTGGTCACGGGAGGCGAGAACAAGGTCATATAAAGTGGCAGAAAAAGAACAAAGGATTTGACAAGGAGTAAATCTACTAGATTCCTTATACTATGACATTACCTATAGTTTAAATGCAATAGTTGGAAGTATTTAACTTTAAAAAAGAACAAACCTACTATTAGTGTTTCTCATGTTACGAAGCTGCTGGATCACTTTCTACTAAAAGAATTACTAACGCTTAAAAGATCATAAAAGTACAAAAAAACAAACAAACAACGCTTTATTGTACAAAAAGCCAAAACAGCTTCATCGACAAAGCACTCACAAAACAACAAAATCACAAAAAAAAATACAAACAACAAAAAATGCACAATACAAATAATACAATTCAAAAAAATTTTAGTCTTTAAAATTAGAAAAAGAATATACATGGACAATTTTCAAAGAGTAGCACCTGCTTCACCTCCAACCTAATATATTTTATCCAAGCTTCGATAAACTAAATTGGCATACAGATCTTTTTTCTACGTTAAAGACATTAAACATTGTGTCGGTGCCGTAAAGTACGCTTCAGTACAAAATTGCTTTGTTTTATCGATTAGGCATTTTCCAGAAAACGAAAAAGGCAAAAGATTTTGGTTGATTCAGGGTATGCTAGAATATTGGCATTGAGAATTTAGAAAAAATTAAAAACTTTTATACTGTTTATATTGAAACAAAATATCAATATCTGAAATCGATATCAAAAAAATGTGCTTTATAATCTTTCTTTACAACAACATCATTCCATTTATGTAATTTTTCATCAACATACAGAACGGTATACAGGGTGGCGCCTCTCATACGCGGAAGCTCCAGGGAGAACGGTAGTGTATATCCAATTGAAATTTTGGCAGCATATGTAGATTAACTGAAAGTATTTTATAAAAATATATAGAATTATACAGGGTGTCCTCAAAAAAAGTTACACATCAAAGTTGTTTTTTCTAATGGAACACCCTATATATTAATTGATTTTCGGATTCTAGGAAAAAAATAAAGGTAAGTTTTATTAAAGAAGCATATACATAAAATCTAAGGATTTTGACATATTTCACATTTTGTGAAAATGAAGAGTAAATTTTAAATTTCGATAACAGCTACCTAAATTTTACTTGACCTTGTATGGCCTGATATTTAATTACAGTAACCATTGTATGTTAAATCAAATTGAAATTTGACCCGAAAAGTTATACAGGGTGAGACAAAATTAATATGGAACATTAGTCACTTTTAAAAGCAAGTTACTCCTTTATTCTAAATAGAACACCTAGTATATTTTCCCGGTGTTCAATGGGGAATTTATATATCTTGAAAATATTATTAAGGTTGCCTACCCCTCAGGCAAAGATTTTCCCATACATTTAAATTATTATGATTTTGCGTCAGTAAATCTTTATTATTTAAAAAAATCTAGGTGGCTGTGTGATATACCTTTTGTTAATTTAACAAAAATTAAAGATTGTAGAATAAAATACTTAGGGGTAATAAAAAGATACACGTTTAAATCATATTTTAATTATTACAGAATTAAAACTTGATATAAACTTATAATTATGCGACAAAAATTAGTTAGATGAAATCACATGCTCAAAATGCTAACTTTCCTGTTAACTGCATAAAATGTTTTTCTTTTCAAAAGGATCTTTTCATTTTAAAAGGCATTATGTGGAGTTCTACCTCGAAAAGCAGCTACAATAATTTAAACACTGTCTTTAACATATCCCCATCAAAAAAACCAGACTAGATAAAATCAGGAGCATTTAAGTATTCTATTAATTGGCGAATGCACACTGCATTCACCAACTAATAGAATCATATCAATTCTATCTTACTTAGGATAAGTTTGCATTTTCGGCAAATTTCTGAGATTTTTTTTGGTTTTAACTTAAACAAAATGATAACTAGTTGTTAAAGTTGGACTAATTAGACAGCTATGTTGAAGTAACGTCAGACCGAGCGTCAGACATATCACAACCATTTAGATTTTATCAAATAATAAGAATCTACTCAGATCAAATCATATAAATGAAAATATCTAGAAAAATCTTTGTTTGAGGAGTAGGCAACCTTAATAGTATTTTGAAGAGACATGAATTCTCCATTGAATATCGGAATAATACACTGGGTGTTTCATTTAAAATAAAAGAGTAACATGCTTTTAAAGACGACCAATGTTCATTATTAATTTTGTCTCACCCTGTATAACTTTTTGGATCAAGTTTTAATTTGATTTAAAGTAGAATAGTTAGTTTAACTACATATTAGGCTACACCGGGTAAATTCCAATTTAGGTAGCTTTTATTGTAATTTAAAAATGGTTCTTTATTTCTAGAAAATGTTAAATATGTCAAAAACCTTCTCTTATAAAACTCACCTTTATTTTTCTCCCAGAATCCGAAAATCAATTAATATATAGGGTGTTCCATTACAAAAAAAAACATCTTAGATATGTAACGTTTTTTGGGGGACACCCTGTAGAACTCTCTATATTTTTAAAAAGTGCTCTGAATTAACCTACATATATGCTCACAAAATTTCATTTCAACACAAACTGTCGTTCTCCTTGAAGCCCCCGCGGCGTATGAGTGGCACCATGCGCCACCCTGTATTTTTGCATTTTTTTTTCAAGATGTTTTTTAAATATTATTTAAAAGAACAGAATCAGTACTGATAATGTTATCTTAAGCTTTATCCCAAAACCATCCGTAACCTGGAATGGGAGTCCTCCAATGGTCTAAGACACTCGAAAAAATTTATGAGGATTTACGGCCGAGAAAAATCAAAAGTCATAAAATAAATAAAAAAAAGTACAGTAAGAACTACTAAACGGTAGTAAACTACTAATTAAACAGTATAGATTGTAAGACACAAACCAAGGAAAAAATATATCAACAACCCTCTCGCATTCAAACAAAGTAAAGCGGCTTAGAGTTTTGTTTTAAGCCTTCGTAGCTAGCAAATGGAAAATGCACTTTTCCGTTTTTATTTGCCTTCTGCATTATTTCTAATGCTCTCATGCTGATGTTTACAAACTTCAATAAGCTTTTTTTAGAATTCTCTATTTTTGACGGAATACCTGCTTGAACTATAAACGAAAATGTGCATAATAATTTGTTAAGCATATTATGCAAGAATTAGTTTTAATGATTAATTATTCCATACAGTTATAATTAAAAACCCTATGAGACTATCAATGCACATAGCAGAACTAATAACCTTGAATTAAATTTTATAACATGTAAAACTAGTAATTTTTTTCTTAGATCCAAACTGTCCAACTCACCGACATGCAAGTCCTTTAAAGAACTCTTCGATAGTTGGAATTTCGACTGATATTGAATTAGACGAGCTAGAGGAAAATGATCAAAGGTAAGATCTAAAATTATAAAGAAGTGTGTTATTTTTTTTAGATTTTTCCAATACCAAGACATTTTTTCATATTTATTAATTTCATTTTTTTATTATTTTATTTGTTCCAAGCAGTCTTATACCCAAGCAGATCAAACTAAAATACGTTTTTTTCGCTCTACTGTAAAATTTTCAAAATGTTGGTCACACACTTTGTGTGAAAGGCGAGGATATGATCCAAGATGAAAGGAACCGGCAGCCTTTGGTGTCTAGACAAAGAATACCTCCACATTGCTTTGGACACCATCATACACTCTTACTAATAATATTCTCTATACAGGGCGGCGCACCTGACTTGTCTCGGTAGATTATAGGAAAACGGAAATTTAATATACAAAGCATTTATTAAATAATAAATTGTTTTGAAATATACAGGGTGCGTCAGAACTAAGATTCATAACAAAGTTATACTTTTTTTATTTAACACCCTGTATTCTATTGCATTTTTGGATTCTTTGCATTTCATTCTTTAGATTCTTTCTTAGATAGATTTAAATTTGTATGGTATAATGGAAACGATTATCAACACCATGTACAGGGTGGGTCAAATTCGACGCTTTTAAATGGAAACACCCTTTTCTGTAGGAGATAGACGAAAACGTTTTCGATGAAAATTGAGCTCCAGACCTCAATTTTCATCGAAAACACGATGGTGAAAACCGCACATCAATATCTGTTACCGTTTCGGAGTTACGGGGTGTTTTTAAAAAATGTGCATTTTTAACAAATTGCTGTAACTTTTTTACTATGAAAAATTTTGTATTTCTATGAAAACATTTCCAAAGCACCTTTTTACGTAGAATTTAATGGTTTAAGTATATATTTTTTTAAATTAATAATTTAAGAGTTATCAACAGACAAATTGATTTTTTATTTGGGACACCCTCTATATTTTTAATTAACTGAAAGAATTTAAAGTACCTTTCAAAATATAACACACTTAATATTTTGTTATAATCCCCTTCGAAGAAATATAGAATTTTTAAAGTTCGCCACTTTTTAACTAGTAGGCTGGACCCCTTATTGATGATATGCCTTAATGGAACTCGAAAACATATTTTTTCCAGCAAGACGACGCACACCGCCTCTGAACGCTGAAGTTATCAGCAAATTTTTGCAGCCAATTTAAAGGCATTGAATGGCAAGATCCCAGCCATTGGCCGTCTAGGCCGCCTGACTTAGTGCCCATGGATCTAATCTTATGGATATATTTGCTGAAGAATAAAAGTTCCTTATTCTTCCGTATAATCTGGACAAGAATTAGAAATACTTAGCAGTTATAAGAGGGTATCTTTCACCCCCACGAGTTAATGAATTCCGCGAGAAATGTTCAAAAACTGCCCCGTCTGTCCATAACAGAAGACGGTCGATATATTGAACACCTGTAGCAAAATCTCATGTCTTGGTTTGCTATTTATTTTATTGTTATTAGATATAGTTTAAATGTGTTGATGTTGGTTAAATATATTTTAAATTATTATAAACTTCTGCATCTCTCATAGCAAATATTATTTTCGTTTTAATTGATGCTCACAGCTAGATTTTTTTGCCGGTTTACAGCCGGTGCCGTTCAAAGCCTACTCATTTAAAGTGGGCGAATTTTTATAGGAATCGAGCAAAATATCAAGTGTGTTATATTTTTGGAAAGGCAATTTTAAATTCTTTCCAATAAATTAAAAATATACAGGGTGTCCTATATAAAAAATCAAATTTTCTGTTGATAATTCTTAAATTATTAATTTTAGAAAAATTATACTTAAACCATTAAATTCTACGTAAAAAGATGCTTTGGAAATGTTTTTTATAAAAATACAAAATTTTCCATAGCAAAGAAGTTACAGCGATTTGTTAAAAGTGCATATTTTTGAAAAACACCCAGTAACTCCGAAACGGTAACAGATATCGATATGCGGTTTTCACCATCATGTTTTTGACAAAAATTGAGCTCCAGACACCGATATTAGTTTTCGTCTATCTCCTCTAGAAAAGGGTGTTTCCATTTAAAAGCGTCGAATTTGACCCACCCTGTACACGAGAGAATTTTTTTCTACAATGTGTAAGAAAGTACCGAAAGACCGAAAAACTAAAAGTAATGTATTTCACAGAGGATTGGGTCAGCTGAACTGAATGAATCAGGAAGTCTTAAAGTTTCTGAAAATCATGACTCAAAATCGTAGCCTATTCAAGATCAAATTACCGTTATCGATAATGGAAATAAAGCAGTAGAACCCTGTAAAACTGAGCCTTTTGTAGTAAAAATTCAGTTGTCCGACCCAATATGGGTCTTTGCGAAAATTTTGATCAAGACAATTTAATTTAAAAAAAAAACGGAGGCAAAAGAGCTTTTTCTCACAAGCGAAAAACACCCTTACTTATATATTAATAAATAAAATATTTTTCTTCGTTATGGTCATTTTGTTTTGTGGATTTGGGCCGGTTGCCTGTTTTTCCCGGGCCGGTTTTCACTTCCCCATCCACCCCTGATCGTATGTGTATAATTTTGAACACTTTTATTTTAATGAATTGAAATGATAGAAAACTGACACTATCATACATTGTTTCGCTGCACGAAATGTAATTTGTAGATAAAGTAAACTAATTAAAAATTTAATAACAAATACTGACAAATTAAGCAATTCTAGATACAATATAATTAACATAAAACTATATTTTTCAGCCTCTGCACGCAGCACGATACACCGTCACGGATCCCCTTGATTTGGCGCCCACCCGACAAGTCCAACCACGTTCCGCCTCCGACAGATGACGTCACATCTCCCGTCTCACCTCCAGTGCCTACATTCCTCGTATTTTTCTTCTTTTTCCTGTACATCGGCCTGGGCGCGGCCTGCTTTGCCAACACCACGAACTGGACTTTCCTTGACGCGATATACTTCTGTTTCTTGGCCCTCTCGACCATAGGAGTGGGCGACAAGCTGCCCACCATCCACCACGGAGAATTCCAAGAACAGTTACAAGTCCTGGCGTGTTGCGTGTACATTTTCGTTGGACTAGTCGTGCTAGCGATGTGTTTCAGTTTAGTTCAGGAGGAAGTGACGCTCAAGTGCAAACAGTTGGCTAATACGATAGGCCTAAGTAGGGAATGACAGACAGTTTACTATGGTTCTATAAGATATTAATAAAATAAGTATTAATTTTACATAGGTGTTTTATTTATTTCAGTAGCTCAGTTTATTATGTGTATTATTTAAATACAGGGTCTCATACGCCGCGGAGGCTCCGAAGAGAACGACACTTTGTATTGAAATGAAATTTTGTGAGCTTTTGTAGGTTAATTCAGAGCACTTTTTAAAAATACAGGGAGTTCTACAGGGTGTCCCCAAAAAAAGTTACATATACACCCTATATATCAATTGATTTTCGGATTCTGGGAGAAAAATAAGGGTGAGTTTTATAATATAAGTATATGACTCAGTGGCGGACTAAGGGGGGGGCGGAAGGGGCGGTCCGCCCCGGGCCCGTCTTTTAGGGGGCCTCCGAATCTTAAGTAATGTTTTATTCAACTGGCAAACAAGGCCAATATGTGTTTAGTAGTTATAAAGCAGTTTGTAGGTGGAGTATGCAAACCATACGTATACGCCAACTATAAACAGTATAAATGGAAGCAGATATTTACTTAATTATCAATGATCAGGCCCCAGTAATTGTCAATGGCATTTTCTATTTAGGAAATTAAATCAAGGGGTAATTTTCTTTGTTTGAAATATCGAATAATTATTATTTTTTTATATATTTTGAGACTGAATTTATTTATTTTAGCTTTTAAGTTATTTTTCAATGGTTTCATTATTTATTTTTACTGAATAAACATTTTAAATTACAACCAATGCACAGCATAACTTGTATTCTAGCTTCATTACTGATGAGGAGCAGTGAAGTCTTTAGTATAACGGGGGCCAGGTGCCTGAGACAGCGAAGGGGCCCCTCGTATCTTGGAGGTCTTACAAAATCGCGATATTTTGTCGCGGTATTTCCCTGGAAGCATGTTTGAGAAAAAAATATTTAAAATTTTTGGACGAAAAAAACTACCTGTCAAAAAATTTGTACAGCCTAAAAGTCAAATTTAGTGATTATCACAGCCTCTGTGACATAAAAAAAAGACGTGGCTATCTATTTCAAAAATTAAATTGTTCACATGTCATATAATAATGGCGGTAGCTGTCATGGAATTGAGCGTTTAAAAAATTATCATAAATATTTTTTTTCCAAATGGAAACCCACTTTTTTTATTTCACTAGTGAAAAGGTTTTCCAATTCGTTAGGTTTTAACTAGACATATTCCTATACCTAAAATAAATCGTTTTTAAGTTATTTAAGATTTAATTTGAAATCGTATATTTTTCTTGATTTTATCTAGCTTCCTTTGATATTAAGTGTCAAACAGTCAGACAATTTACTCCCATCTGTCAGAAAATGAATTATTTGAATTTCCTATATTATAACTACTGCGGCCTTAAAAGTTTAAAAAGTGTATTTATATATATTATAGATATTACTAAATAGTAATATATATATTAGATATTACTAAATAGTAATATCTAATAGTTGATATTTTAATAATATACCGTACGATCGAAAAGAACCAGCGCAAAGTTAGCTTGGAAATTATGATCGATAATATACTGTCATAGGCTACTGGTTATAATCAAGAAAAATATACGCTTTAAAGCTGAATATTAAATAACTTAAAAACGATTTATTTTAGGTACAGAAACATGTATAGTCAAAAAGTAACAAATTTTAAAAACAACGATATGAACAAGTAACGAAAGCCTTTTCACGAGATTACAGTTGAGGGTTGGAACCTTTGGTGTTACACAGCAAAAGAGAGTGAGCAACACACATGAGCGAGTATATAAACGCTCAACTTGTAGATTGTACTTTAGTTTATAATCATCTGCTGATGATGCTAACATGGTTAGCGAACCGCGCGTCCAGTGTAAAAGTAAAAGTGTTTTGGTGTATTGTGGTGATTTAGTGTTTTTATTTTGCTTTTCACGAGTGAAATAAAAAAAAGTGGATATCCATTTGAAAAAAAAATGATTTATGATAATTTTTTTAATCGCTCAATTCCATGACAGCTGCGGCCATTATTATATGACATTCGGACAATCTAATTTTTGACATAGATACCCACATGTCTTCTCTTTATGGTACAGTGGCTGTGGCAATTACTAAATTTTTGGCAGGCATTTTTAATTTGACAGGCAGTTTTTTTTTTCTCCAAAAATTATAAATATTTTTTTTTTTCTCAAAAACGGTTAAGTTTTTAAGTTAGGTATAGAGTGTTTAATATCAAAATTCATAAAATATTACAGAGAATTTAAGTATGTAATAAAAAATAGGGTCACCCATTTAAAATAAGAAAGTTGCTGTCAACTTCCGGTACTGAAACAATGATATGCACAAAATTTCGTATCTAGATATTGTAGTACTTCTAACGTAAGCTCAGCCTGGGACACGCTGTATAAATACTTGAATTTTGTCAATCATTATACATACGTCATTCAATTTTTACAAATTGTGCATTAGAAGTATATCATTATCTAAATAGGCCGGGGGCCACTTTTAGCTTCGCCGCCCCGGGCTCCCGACAGGCTTAGTCCGCCACTGATATGACTAAAATGTAAGGTTTATGATATATTTAACATTTTCTAGAAATAAAGAACAAATTTTAAATTACTTTATAAAAGCTACCTAAATCAGAATTTATCCGGTATAACTTAATATGTAGCTAAATTAACTATTGTACTTTAAATCAAATTAAAACTTGATCCAAAAAGTTATACAGGGTGAGACAAAATTAATATTGAACGTTGGTCACCTTCGAAAGTATGTTACTCTTTTATTTTAAATGGAACACCCAGTATATTATTCCGATATTCAATGGAGAATTCATGTCTCTTCAAGCCAATTATTTTGTATAATATCATGGTGTTGAATTTTTGGGAGTAATTCTCGTTTTTTGCCGTTTTTCATAGTTTTTTTTCTTAAATTGTACTTCTAAGCACAAACAGTTCTTTTAAGAACTAAATTTTCGAGATTTTTTACTGCATTTTTTGAAATTGTGGATTGAAAATATGCCGAAGCCTTTAAACAGTCGAAGCAAAGCGCTTTTAGCTTCTCTGATAAAATATTTTGAGCGCGAACGTGACAATAAAGGTCCTTTATTACCCTTGAATGCAGTCAGAGAAGTAAGATTGATTGGTAAGCACATTATACCACTTTCAAGTTATTTCTACTTATTTCAATTTGTAGCGTGTAGATGCTGACTAAGAAAAATTATATAAAAATTATATACTAAATATATTTTTTGTCACTTTTAAATTAAGATTCATCTCATAATCCATCACAATCTGGCAGCGCTGTCGCCATCGCTTGTCACTCAAAGTTGATGACGTGCATCGGAGAATGTTTTAAAATTTCTATATGAGACTAGTTTCCAAAAATGTAATAATTTACTAGGTGTTTCATTTAAAATAACAAAGATGCTACCACTTTTCAAATGATCCGGCAACAGTGTAACGCTAATAATAGCTTTTTTCGTTTTCCTGTTATTACCGATTCTGAACCGTCCTAGAACTCTGCAGCGCATGCGCAAATGAAATAATGTCTTCATATTTCCTGCTGCGCATACGCATCACAGTTCTAGGACGGTTCAGAATCGGTAATAACAGGAAAACGAAAAAAGCTAATATTTTAGATAGATGGAGCAGGTGCCTTTATATAAAGATCCAAATTTTCAAAACAATCCTTTCACCGGTCCTCCTATTATCATCGCCGGAATATCGGTTACCAGTAGCGGCTAGACAGCTAACTTTTGATCCATAAGGATATTTCGGGATTTTTCATTTTTTTTCTTCCATTGGAAGCTTGCTAACTAAAATTCAAAATTTGAAGTTTGCAATATACTTCTAGAAGTACCATTGCGATCAATAAAAAGTAGTACAAGAATTAGTAGTCCCAGATAGAACTCCTGGTCTATAAGGATATCGGAAAGTGGATATCGTCGTCACTATGAAGGATGAAAACAATACACTTATGCCACCTAACTTTTTAGACGTTACCATGAATTTGGTAATAATTGGTAGGTATACGTATGTATATAGGCGAAATAAAAGTATAAAAAATTTACCTACCTTTTAAAATTGGGCAATTTTTAATATTTTATTATAGACCAGCAGATTAAATCATATTTTGTTGTACTGCTTTTTTTTATCGGAATGCAATGGTACAATTTTGATGACGGTGAGTGAGTCGCTGGCGAAGTTAAAGAAGTTTGACTAGAAAAAATTCATAATCCTTGAATTATAGTTGCTATAATACATTCATATACAAATAAAATCAGAAGAGACCTCTTCGATTAATTCTAGCTTTCTACCTTTTTTTCAACTGGAAAGTCAGTAAACGGTATATAGCTGCTAGACGCTAGACAGTTAACCATATATATATATATATATATATATATATATATATATATATATATATATATATATATATATATATATATATATATATATATATATATATATATATATATATATATATATATATATATATATATATATATATATATATATATATATATATATATATATATATATATATATATATATATATATATATATATATATATATATATATATATATATATATATATATATATATATATATATATATATATATATATATATATATATATATATATATATATATATATATATATATATATATATATATATATATATATATATATATATATATATATATATATATATATATTTTTTTTTTTTTTTGCAATCCGGTTTGCTTCCTTCAGCTCCGACACTTGAAGGAAACTTGCCGGTGTCCTCTTTAGTGTTCAACTCCTGACGTCCGTCTGGTAAGCCGTTCACTGAATCCGCGTATCGTGTGCCCTGAGTATTTTGAGAGAGCCCAAAATCACAGCCTTCTGCATGCTTGCAGCAAGTCGTTCCGCTACATTATAACACACTGGTATCAGTTTCAATTGCTGGAGCAGGGTGTCTTTAACTCCTCCTAAACTTCCTATCACTAGTACCACCAACCTTACAGAATGATCAGCGTACATTCTGCGCATTTGCTCCAGGAGTTCCTAGTACTTCTCCCTTTTCCTCTTCTTTACTGATTATGTTCTTCTCTGATGGCGCCGAGAATTCTATGACATAAATTATTTTCTTCGCTATATCCTGGAGAACTATGTCTGGTCTGTTCGCCCGTATTTGTCCGAAGGCCTGGAATGGATAGTTCCAGTAAATTTTGGTTGTTTCGTTTTCCACCAAGGACTCAATTTCTCTCGGTGTTTGTGGTAGCACTGGCGTTTCATCAAATCCATGCATATGACGAAGGTGATAGTATATCACCCTCAATACGGCGTTATGGTGCTGGGTATAAGCCGAAGCCGCATAAGTAGGGCAGGCTGATAGTATGTGCCACAGGGTCTCCGGAGCTTGATGGCATACTCTACATCTTATATCTTCGATTTGTTGGCCCATAATACGGCTACGATACATCAAAGAGCTATAGACACCGTCCTGGCATGCCAGTATAAATCCCTCTGTCTCAGATCTTAAGCCGCTCGACCTCAGGAAAGCAAACGATAGTCTCTCAGAAAGCTGCTGTTGTGTCATTATGTTATAGAAGGCTCCGTGCACGGGTTTCTCCACGTGATTTTGCAAGAACCTCCTGTTCTGTGCGGACCTAATTCGGTTGACTACCTGTGTGGCGCTGTGTTCTGTGATGGATTCTGGGATGGATTCTCAGTGAGTTGGCGCTGAAGGTCGAATATTAGATTGAGTTTATTCGCTGCTTTTTTTGCTTCTTTGAAAATGAATCCACCAATTTCTTCTTTCTCGTGGCCTCGTACCATTACTAGTAGAGGATCTTGAGTTTTAAGGAGTGTGCACGCCGTGTAACTATGAGGTATAATTACTAGATATTTTGGTAATCTAGCTATCTATAGTATGTCCTCATGTGTAGTGAAAAACAAAATTTTCTAGCTTTATCCATGCTTTATCCACAACGAAGTTACAGGGTGGTCAAAAGTTCCGCTAATACAGGCCTTTGAGAACAGGATGGCACGGCTGTGCTCGACTTGGCGGGGGCACTCCCGTGCCCCTAGATTTGATTGTCTAATGTTTTTGATGATTTCTCCTGGCCGTTTAAAAGATGTCCAAGTCGTATTTTTAATTACTATTATAACTCAATTTTTTTCAAATGGAACGAGGGTGGTTTATTAGCGTATTAAAAAAACATTTTTTACGAATAATTTGGTACCACATACGTGGTATTTCAAGTCAAATTGTCGCTATGAATGACAGTCATTGCAGACTAGATTGAAATTTAAAATACTATTTTTTTAAGCGACAATGTTAAAAGTTGACATATCATATGTCTATATGTCTATCATAGACATGTCTTTTTAGAATGTCATTTTCAATCAAATAAAGTAAAAAAATAACGAGGTGTTATCGACGCCTATGATCCTTATGACAGGCAGTCATTTTCACGCCGTGCCTGTACCCCGTGTCCGCTGATGTTTGCGAGTAGCGGAGTAGTAGGCTTTGGAAACAGTTGAATGTCGGAGATTGTTGATTTCGGCTTATGATTTCGGCCGAGAGAAGACATTGTTTGTCAAGCTAGTTAGAATTACATTTTAAATATCAATTTCTGTTAAATATATTAATCTTTCGATTACAGAGGGTACTATAAAAAGCAAAAATTATAGTCATTTCCGGTGAAACAGGAAATGAACAAAAATAATTGAACACGTCAGTCAATCCTGATTTATGTCATATGTTAACATACTCAATCTTGTTTTTTTGTCTGAAAAAATAAAAAGTTATATGGGTGAGCCACCTTTGAAAAACACCCGACAATGCGATTGAAAAAAAAAACGGCGTCAGAGTTGACTTGGTAATGAAGAACGCTGTCATTTAATATGTAAAATTATATGGCGAATGTCATCTATCGTCATATCCCAGCCAACTTGATGGTATTTTTTCTCGATTGTACGGTATATTCATACCGCATCTTCAATGATAAAGAGACCTAAGTCAAATTAATAATAATGTCTTGTGCCACTTTTTAATTGAAGGTGCGATATATTCGGGAGCTTCAAAAGTAACCGTTATTTTTTGAAATTCTATAAAGCACACTATATTTTTAAACGGATTCATTGTTATTCAATGTATGTTATAATAAAATTTGCTTTTTAAAAAAGTTTTTGAAATGGATCACCCTCTATAAAAATAATAGAATTTTCTTTCATGATATGCCAGTCCGGCCCTGTCAGAAATCTTGTCAAGGTTACCAATGTAATATTTTTAAAATTTTTATTGTAACAAAATTTCTTAAGATATATTTACCAAATATACAAGTAAAAGTGTGTTCGGTGTGTTCTTTTAATCGCGTGTAAAATGTAGAAAGTATTTTCAAATCAAATTAAAGTATTGTAACTTTTGTTGAAATATCGATTGACCTTGACATTTCTGGCAGCTGAGTTTTCTGTTTTATCGGCTCTTCGTCTTGCGTATTTTAAATCTTGATTTTAAATATGGCGATTGACTGACAACCGAGAAGTCTTGAACAGAAATCAGCACAAAAATTGTACAGATATATCTTAAAAAGTCCGGTGATATGTAAATATTCAGGTACAAAACTTAATGTAAATATAAGCCCCGGAAACATACTGTGATAAATGTGATGGCTAATGATCCTGGGGACGAAAATTTGAGGGAAGATCTTGAAATATTAGAATCTATGATAGATTTATCTGCTAGCACTTTAAAGGGGCTCAGGACGACATGTGCTACCAGTGCAGAGGTGACCCGACAAGAAATAAGAACCCATGAGGTAGAATAATATTTTTTTTATTAATACTAGACCCTTTGCTTGGCTACTAACTTTAGAAAAGCCAAGCGCCCTTGACATTGATACAAGCTTTCACTAACACTGTAGTTTCAATTGAAGATTTAAAGATTATAGATACTAATAATAGTTAGTTGTGTATTAAATGTGAATATTCCTTGTCTGTTTTCCTTAATAATAGTTCTTAGCTTTTCTCAATAGTTCAAGTTCAAAATATATTTAACTTTATATAGAATGTAGAAGATCTGATAAAAACAAGTATATTTTGCTACTGTGCTTTGTGGCAATGCAAGTTGTTTCAAGCTTTCTAATTTTAAGCATTTATATTTTATTACCATTAATGCTTTATCACAATACCTTAAACTATATTGTATCTAATTGGTGTAAAGGCATTGTTTGTATAATAAAGCACATCACTTAACATATCCTAAAAATAATGTCATTTTAGCTTATTATATTCTATTACTTTATACTAATATATCTTTTTTATCTCTAGGGAAAATTGATTAAACTCTTCTCTCAACAACTAGTCATAAAGGCAAAATTAAAAAATGGCACTGATGTTCAGAAGCCTGATCTAAATAAATGGCTACAGATTGTTGGCTTAGGTACAGATTCTGTGGCTGCAATTTGTCAAAAAATTTCTTCGGTAAGTTATATATTACTACAAACTGCTATAGAATGAAATAATATTACATAATGTTACTTTAATATATTGATTATTTTTTTTTGTAGTGGCATTATAGACACTTAGCTTTAATAGTGTAAATTTTTCTGAGGGTCTGTATAAATATTTAATGTGTTTCTTGTAAGAAACAGATTATTATACTTTTTTAGAAACTTGTTATTGTGTCATTGTTTTAATTACATATTCATTTTAGGTTGAAGAACTGCAAGAGAAATCTGAACACGAACTCAAGATGATTTTAATTGAGAAACAGGCAAATACTGAGGAATTATCGAGATTAATTAAGGCTTTACATAACTTGAAGAAATACACTGGTAAAGAAACATAATTTCGATCAAAATTATTTTTTTTATGTTTCCTAATACACATTTTTATTTCTAGATATTCTCAGGCGAGGAGATAACAATATTCCGGACACACAAGAGTTGACACTGTCATGGGATTCCTGGGACCGAAACGATTTGAAAATGAAACATGGACTGTCCCCTAGATCGGCAAGGTCAAGGGCAACCAGAGCATCTGTTCCTTCGGAAGAAAACCTCTATAATAATAATCACAAAAATAGTTCTGCAATTGCTCCTAGTGCGTCGGTGTCAGGTATCAATTCTTTAAATGCAGCGTCTGCAGTTTTAGGACAGCCATTGACACCTCCAGGCTACAGCTCAAACGTGTTTAGTCCCTTGAAGGAGAGGGGCAAAGGTGAGCACACTTTTTAGTAGCTATAATCTCTTTAGCAATAGAATATATAATTTTAACAGATCCAAAGAATTTACAAAATTAAACTATTTACTTTTGGATGAAAATTATAGATAACTGTCACTAATGTCAAATATTCTTTGAAGGGAGAGAATAATAAAATTTAACAATCTAATTTTTTGTATCAATACTATACAGAGTGGCGCAGTGTTCATGAGAAGCTCTATATATGATTTTTAGCCAACCATACAAACAGGTATGATATAGTATATGCCATGAATGTTTGGGAGTGATTCAGCTCTTGATGAAGTTAGAATCGACACGCACGCTATCATTTTTACATTAAAAACGTAAATTTTTACCGCTGACGTAGGTTTTTAAAGGCCCGATCTAATCATCTGCCTGCGCTCCTCCTACTTATTCTAAAATGTTAGCGTGATTGACATAGACGATACTATATCGCATTTCTTTGATTCATTCGTTTTTGTGCGTCAGTCCATTGGTGTGCCTGCAGTGCAACCAATGGGGCATTCCATTTTATATTTATAACCAAATATATGTTTTGACAAGAATTAGAATTTTAGAATTAGAATAAGTGGGAGGGGGGTTAATCTCTGCGACCTTAGAGATCTATTGTGTCCCCCTTTCTTGAGTTATAACTCATCATACAGTCCCAGGACTTCCTCCGGAGACCCGTGTCCCTCACATTTGAGAAGCTACGACCCAGGCCGGGTAGACGAAATGGTAGCTTGTATCGCCTGTTGGGTTTAGAGGTAGGAGGTAGGCTCCCGACCCTTGGAGGAGGTGGTAGCTTGTATGCCACTTACGCAGGATGGTCTCACGCAAGTGTCAGCCACCTCTCCTGTAGTTCTCTTTGGGTTTGGCCCCTTGGAACTTTCATTGTTACTGTTCCCAGTGTCGCTAGGGGGTTTCCCCACAGCTTCACCGGTGATGTTTTTTATTTATGTTTTGACAAGACTTTGACATTTAAAACAACAAATTACAACAGATTATATATTGATTATTATATGACTTGAAACACCACAGCACTGGAATTAAGTTTTATGTGATCTTGAACAGATTAGTTCATATGGTAGCGACCGATGAATCACTCCCAAACATTCGTGACGTTTACTATAAGCTATTAAGATCGGAAAAAAAAGTTTTTTAATTTCACTCAAAATGAGTTATTTGGGTCATAAATGACCTAAATACAAAATATTTTCATGATGTCTGTCTATCCGTCTGTAACACGATAACTCAAAAACCGCTAAACCGATTTTAACCAAATTTGGCACAAAAATGCTGTGGGACCCGAGAATCTGGCTATTAGTTTTTGGTGGGGGTGGGATGTTGGCAAGGGGGTATGGGAGGGGGTTAAAAATTTTAAAAAATCATAACTCCAAAATTACAGTAGCTAGCGAAACGCGGTTTTCAATTTAAGATTAGGAATAATATTTGCAACAAAATTTATAATAACATCAGTTATTATAAATCAGTCAAAGTCGCAGTTTTTGAGATAAAAAAAATTGGAAAAATTCTGTTACTTTAAAACTAAAAGAACTGCCTACCAACTGTTTATAAACATATTTTAGTATGGGCGGCTATACGTGCCTCCCAGAGCCAATTTTTTTATGTATACCTGCTATTGTTTGTATAGTTTATAAGAAAGATTGAAGTAAAAATTTCAAATAGATATGGATGTGTTTCTGAACACTGGGTCCTCCAATATGGAGTTCTTTTATAAGTAAGATGTAGTTAACTCATTTTTTTTATTAATTATTACAGAAAAGAAATTTCCAACAACACCTCCAGCTAAAAGAAAGCAACTAGTCAATAATGCTCCTATATTAATGCCTGATGCTTTTCCTTTGACAAAAAGTAAATCACACGAATCCCAACTCGCAGCAACTAAATCGGAAAGTAATAGAGACCTTAACAATATTAAGTAAGTAGAATAACTAGCAGAGTATGTCTCTGGTGGAACCCATCAGGGACCTACTCTTAGTAAATACAATATTATAATACAATAAATACAAGTAGAACAATAAGTAGCTAATTCTTATAATAATTTGCTCAACAAAAATGTATTCTTTGACATGTTAGTGAGACAGGTGTTAGAAGAGCAAGGTTACCAACTGAACCTGGCCCAGAAACAATGGGACTGACAAGTCCTGTATCCACTAGCCCCATTAAGTCACCACCTTATAATAGTACAGGAACTGATAGTGACGATAGTAGTTATAAATGTGAGTACCTACCTTTAAAAAATGATATTACTGTAAAAAATGTCTACCCCTCTGCGGCGGATTCATCTCTTCAAAAAAGTCCTCTTGAGTATTTGATCACAGAGACTATATGATGAGTTATAACCTGTTATAACTCAACAAAGAGGAAAAAAAGAAAAAAAAGGGCACCTTTTTAAAGAACATAACATAAATAGACATAACATACGTAAAATTTAAAAATAATCATACAGAAAGTTTGGGCTTTTTGGTTTTACCTTATTAAGTAATTGTTATCAGGTAGCAATTGTTAATTTTGAAGTTTAACTTGATATAATGTCATTTTAACAGAACGTCAACGGTTTCTTGTAGACGTATCTGTTTTAATAAAAGTGTTCTCGAATAGTTGAATTTAAATATTTTAAATAGTTTGTTTCTTATTCTTTGTTTTTTTTTTGCTTCCATAAAAATATTACTTAAAATGACTTGTTTAATTTAAATGGAACCCTGTATATTTTAAGTAAATCAGATGCACAATGTTATTTGACTATTAAATTGTATTTTACCATTTTTAGGGTTCCGTACCCAAAGGGTAAGAACGGGAACTCTATTACTAAGACTTCGCTGTCCGTCCGTCCTTCTGTTACAAAGGTCTATCTTATGAACCGCTATAGCTAGACAGTAGAAATTTTTGCAGATAATAATCATTTTGATTTAAAAAGAAAACTATTTAAATATTTGTAAAAGAATATACCATTATAAAATAGGCTGTACTTAAACTGCCGTTAAACGGTAGCTTACTAAAATGCCGTTAATAGGTATGACGTCGTTGATGTGACGCACTTGACGGCTTTATGAAATATAGGAATTTTATAAGGACTAACCAACGCTATCCACCCCACCAAATAACCAACGCAACTAACCTCGACACTGATAAAAAATATAAAAAACAAATATAAATTAGTAAAAATCAACCAACCCCACCAAATAACCAACTAACCAATGAATTAACACCCTCCATATAACCACGCCAATGCAATAAGATCACGCTATAAGCAAAAAAAATATAAAAAAGTGTTGGTCGACGTGAGATTTGAACCACGGACCATTCGCTTACGAAGCGATAGCCTCAGCCACTGAGTCACAGGTGCTCTTGCAAAATGCTTAAGGCTAGGCATTACTTTCCGCCAACATGAACGACGTCACAATATCTATTAACGGCATTTTAGTAGGCTACCGTTTAACGGCTGTTTACGTACATCTTATAAAATATATCACCATTATTTCCCGCCAAATATTAATTACTTACATACTTAATTGCGTTAGTTAATAAATTTTTCTAAATAATTATGGATTTGAATCAGGAAATCAATATATTATTAAGTTATGAATGTGAACGTCTCTGTTATAAATAAACATTCGTCAAAAAATTAAATAAAATTTAGGTCATACCTTTTACCACACTTTCTAATAATTATTATTAACCCTCAACTAGCGTGGTGAATTTTTGTACCGCTTATGGCATGCTGGGGTCCGATGGACCCCAATTTTTTTTAGTTAAAAAATATATGATGAAGAGATTTTATAAAAAGTTTGTTATTTTTACACTTTTTACAATATGTTCAAACTTGTTAACAAACATTTTCATTAATTTTCAACAAATTAATAAGAGCGGACACAAAAATGAAGTAAAACGCATTTTTTAGGAATTTTTGACAACAGAAATATAAATTGGCTAAGCAACCCATAGAAATTAAAAACATATATATTTTATTATTTTACCATATTATTAAAAGTACAAACAACTGAAATGTGAAGCTAAAGTAATAAACATAAATTATTTTCAACAAAACTGCAAACCTTGAATGTACATAACATTTTCAAATACAGTTCATGCTAATATATGATCTGCATTTACCGCACATGGATCGTACACATTTGATTCATGCGATTTTTGTTTTTTGTTATTTCTTCATTGACATATGGTTGTCACATATATATGACACATATACCACATCTCTTTCTTCGAAGAAAAATCAATGTCTTGATGATCTTCATCTCACTTAAGCCTCTTTAAGTTGATCAAACCACTCAATTAATGCTTCCTCAAAATTAGCGTCCCAGTAAGGCACACTTTTTAGACTACACACCATCCTAATAATGAAACACTCTTGGCGTGGTGGTGCCACACAGACCCCAATGAAACTTTAGCCTCCGCTGGTAGGAACAATACTTGATAAAATCAAGTGCGCCTTTAACAGTTGCATATTGGTATCTTAATTTAAAGGTAAATGGCGTGATGAGGCCTAATTCTTCAACGTAAACATTTTACAGTGGTTTAAATAGTGCTTGGGGTCCGCTGGACCCCACCACGCCAGATGAGGGTAAATCAACGCAGACAGTCAATTAATGTAAACAAGCGAACAACCCTGTAGATTGTATAGAATATAGAAGAAATTATTTGTATGTTTACAGCTGTAAGGTTACAAGTTCCCAAATCGCCTCAAACGCCGACGATTAAGCACGGGTGCATGACGCACCAGATCGCTCACCGTTTTACGCGAACTTTTAAAATCGTAGGAAATTGCGATTTTTGCACGAGGAAGATGCGCGGAATGGCACTAAAATGTAGCGAGTGCAAGTACTCCTGTCACAAAGAGTGCCAGGAGAAAGCGGGTCCATCTTGTAGCCTGCCTCAGGGATACGTGGAAGCTTTTAAAAAGACTGTCGAAGAAAGCCAAGGTAAGTCAGAAGTATATTTCTTGAATACCAGCTAACTTAACTTTGTAAATTTATGGAATTTTAAGTATTACATAAATATTACGGCATGTAGAATGTAGAATGAATGAGAGGGGGGTGCTAATCACTGCGACCTTATCGATCTATTGTGCCCCCCTTCCTTGAGTCATTACACAGTATATAACCCATCATACACCTGTTGTAGAGGGGACAGGGTATTTCCCAATCCTCCTCTGACAACAGATGTTCTTCCTCCGAGGGTACACACCCTTCCACGGATGGACTTTGGCCCTCCGTGCCCTTCACAGTCGAGGAGCTTGCTTCCGGCTGAGGTGCCCGTGTGGTGTAGGCTGTAGGGATGCTCCATTTTCTCCACCTCTTTAAGTTGGTCTCTCTTTAGACCTGATACCGGTGTTGTCCTGTATCTATAATAGAGGATATGTCCCTCTTTCTCTATTGCCTCCTTGGATTTGAAGTCAATTCCTATTGTGATCATGACCCTCCTCCCTCGAGTTAATAACTCGCCAACTCGATGTCCTTACATTTAAGTTCTGACCCTGGATAAGGTTCAGCAGGTAGGTGGTGTCTTTCCCCTTGGTCCTCGGCAGAAAGACCGCGATGGCCGCCCCTTTAGAGATGTTTTCACCCTTCACTGCAACCAGTTCTTGCCAATTTTTAACTTTTTTTTTAATTTACTTAGGTGCCATTTTCACCAACCAATTCGCCGATTCTTGAGATACACAATCTATGAGGATTATGCCCACCCGAAAGTGTATCCCCGCAAAACGCAGCTGATCCACAATTTGTAGATCGTTGTGTCGCGATTCGATCGCTACTACTTCGTCCAGTATAGCCTCTTCTAGAGACGTTTGCTGGTCGATTAGCAACCCCTGGGAAATCCTTTTGCAGCACCGACATTTTCACTTGTCCAGCAATAGCAGCAAAGCTGGTGATACGTCCCTGCTTGCCTCCCAGTGTTGGACGGTTTTCCATCCTGGCTTCTTTCTCTCCCTGCCGAACAAGAGGTGAGAGGTTTTCGCTCCCTCTCTTACTGTTTGATGGAGATGAGTCAGGTTGTTTCTTGGTTTCTTTACTCTCCCCTTTTCGGAGGAGTGTTTTCGCGTTTGCTTCCTCTGGAGCAAGTCCTTCGTGGAGCAGTCGGAGGTATCTCCGTGCTTCTGCTCCGCTAAGACCTACTCTCAGAGGATCGTCTAGCCCGCCTGGTTGACCCAGGCCGCGTAGACGAAACGGTAGCTTGTGTCACTTATTGGGTCTAGAGGTAGGCTCCCGACCCTTGCTGAAGAAGGTGGTAGCTTGTGTGCCACTTGTGGGGGATGATCTCAAGCAAGTGTCAGCCGCCCCTCTTGTAGTTTCCTTTGGATTTGGTCCCTTGGAACTTTCATTGGTAATGTTCCCAGTGTCGCTAGGGGGCTTCCCCACAGCTTCACCGGTGGTATTATTAATACTAGATCTCATAGTGTTCCCACGAGTCGCTAGGGATAATCGGTCCACTTCTTCAGTCAGCTTCTCCAGAGCCCCGTAGAAGTAAGGGGTAAATACAATGGGGTCCACCCTGATGCCCCAACGTTGAGACCAGTAAAGGACTTCTCTCGAGCCACGCATCCCTTTGACCTGGTCCCGTCATCTTAGGATTTAGGTTTTTGGTGAGGTTGTCTCTTCTTGGTCCGGGCGGTTAAGCCAAGACACGCCCCCCCCCCCACACCTTCTACCCGCGAGACATGACCACAGTCAGTAGAGGGTGCCTGGTATGAGGGACAGGGTTAACCTCGTCCGGCATTGTTATATCTCTTGATGCAATCCTCTGGCTACGACACTACAGCCAGGGACAAGACGATGAGTGAGATGCTTCTTAGACCAAGCCAAGTGCTAGGGGGATTCCCCCCAGCACCTGACCAGGAGCTTCCCCACCAACGACAAGGTCTTTCATCTCCTAGGGGAAGAATATTGCGGCATACACTTAACTACTGAATACATTTGAAGTTTTTAGAGAAAAAGCACAAAATTTTCAAGATAGATTTAAATACTTTTGTAGTAGCAAGCGGATTCTACTGAACTTGAACATATTTTCATTAATAAAGAGAATAGTAGTTATAGGTTTCAGATCAATAAACGTGACTTTTTAATGAAAATATGAAATTTTTCTTTTTACCGTTATGGAACAAATGAACTAATTTTAAATTTTTACTAAGATTTAATTTTTTCTCATTGATTTTTTTTTGGATGTGATAAAAATGTATATATTATTTTTTAGGTTCTATGTGTTACTCTCCTAAAACAGGTCGACCTAGCAAATCAAACAGTATAGTTAATTCTTTAGCGCGAGTCAGACATCGAAAAGGATCTCATCCGCAGGCAACGTTTAATAGTCCTTCATTCCAGGTAGGATATTTGTTTAGTAAATATTAAAACGTATTAAAAATAATTATATTATCTAATACCTTCTAATTATATGTAAGAACAATACATGTTATTGGCAACTATAGCAATAGATAAATTGGAAGAATTTTGATTGATAATATATTTACAGGCGAAGATTGTAAGGAATATACGTGACTTAAACACTTTGTGATTGTGGGACAAATGAACTACTTTTAGATTTTTACTGTAAAAATATAGGAAAACATTTTAGTTTTTGCCAGTGTTCTAAAATTTTAATATTGTACTTCATTCCAGATAGGACATTTGTTTATTAAATATTAAAATACATTAAAAAGTGTATTATACCGGGTGCGTCTCAAAAGTGGCTCACTCATATAACTTTTTTTATTTTTTCAGATAAAAAAAACGAGATTAGGTAAGTTAGTAAATGACATAAATTAGGATTGATTGGCATATTCAATTGTTTTCGGTCATTTCCTGTTTCACCGGAAATGACTACAACTTTTGATTTTTAAATGGCACCCTCGGTATTTTTTTTTACTTTAATCTATAGAAAATGACACTCTGAATAGTGTGACATATCATGTCAACTTTTGACATTTTTGCTTAACAAATTTGTATTTAAATTTTGAATCTAGAGTGTCATGGCTGTGTTAAAAACATTAATTTTTAATCAAGGCGCCTTGGAAAAATAGGTCTGATCGTTTTTAGTGTCTTGTCCTGACCGGTTAAAAGATGCCCAAATCGTATTTTTAATATCTCAATTTTTTCAAATGGAACGAGGGTGGCTCATTAGCATATTTGGAAAAGGCATTTTTTACAAATAATTTGATACCACACACTTGTTATTTCGAGGCAAATTGTCGTTATGAACCGCATGTTGCAATTTCAAATAAACCATATTCGAAAATGTCAAAAGTTGACATATGCATGTCATTCTATTGAGAGTGTTATTTTCTATCGAATAAAGTAACAAAATACCAATGATGTCATTTAAAAATCTAGAGTTGTAGTTGTTTCCGGTGAAACAGGAAGTGACCGAAAACAATTGAATACGTCAATCAATCCTAATTTATGTCATATACTAACATACCAAATGTCGTTCTGTAATCTGAAAAACTAAAAAAGTTATAGGGGGTGAGCCACTTTTGAGATGGTACCGGTAGATACCCGGTATAATATATTCAAATTATGTAAGAAAAAATTATTGATACCTATAGCAACAGATAAATTGAAAGAATTTTGATTGGTAGTATATTTACAAGCGAAGATTGTTAGGAATGTACGTGACTTTCACACTTTGCGATTATGGGACAAATGAACTACTTTTAATTTTTAACTGTTAAAGCTATAGGGATACATTCTAGTTTTTGCCGGTGTTCTTAAATCATAATATTGTATTTTCTAAAAATTTTATATGAACTACTAATACTGTTTTTCTATTATAATAGACAAATTTGTTGGTAATCACTGTTATATTAATTTCAGCCTCCTGATAGTAGCTCAAATACATCAAGTTGCAATAGCTCGACGCCATCAAGTCCAGCTGTTCAAAATTCGACTACACCAAAAGGAAGCCAAAAACAATTCCATTTTCCAGGTAATTTTCACCGTTTTTTTTTTTATTCTAAAAGACATATTTTGTGATTTGCTTTAATATTTTTAAAGATATATATTAAGATTTCAGATTTAAAGATTTTATGAATGGTTTAAATATACTATATAACATTAATATTTATTAGTTATTAGAGTTATGCGTTGTAATGAGTTCTTATACAAAGCAATCCAAATTGATTAAAATAATTGGAAATTTTTATTTTACTCGTATGGTTGGTAATAAATTTAAGAAATTCGAATATTTCAGTTGTTAGAGAAATAAATAGATTTAATCTGAAGGTTTTATAATTCAATTTTTGGATAAGAATCTCGAAATAAATTTAAAAAAATAGGTTAGGTTTTATGCTTGTAATATATGTTTATAATAAAACCCATCATCATGGATTTATAAACTAGTACAATAACTATATATTTTAAAAACTGCCTTTATTTCAAAAACCGCTGAAAAGATCATTGATCAAGATCACATTAAATTTAAAAACCATAATAATAAATACAGAAAATTATAATTTTTTACATAATCGTTAGGGTCGAAAAAAATGTATATTTTTTTGTTATAGATACTTCTGAATCGATCAAAGAAGTAACATTAGCTACCCATTCTATATCAGTGTCTTCACCTAGACATGACCTTATCACCAGTCAATTGTCAAGAGAAAGCGACAAGACTGCCTCGCAAACGTCGAACAGTAACAGTACAGACTCCGATAGGACGCCGGTACGACTGGACTCGCAGGACAGTCAAGTCTCTGATACGGAAACTATCACCGACGGACACAAATGGCCTAGACAAAATAGTGTAAATATTTATACAAATACCGGGTAATCCACTAAGAATAGCTCTCGGCTGTATCTCGGTAAAATATTGAGCCTGCGGAAAAAATATTTATAGCTAGAGAGTCCATGAGAAATTGCTGGAATTTAGTTTCAAGTTTGTAGAACGGCCGCTAGAGGGCGCAACTGATATATGGCAAATAAGAAAATGTAATTTTTACAAATTTTACTCAATTTCTATACAAGAAACGGCGCTTCAGTGAAATCAGGGGTGTATTTTAAAAAACACCACCTACCAAAAAAGATATAAAAAAGATGTCCTGCTTTCAAGCCGTGTTTCAAGCTCAAGCAACTTACTGCATTTATTGTTACATTATTTATCAATATAATTATTCAATATGATTATTATTTACCTATAGTGTGCTGCTATTGTACAGATACTCCAGTTTTTAGTATCATACCGGGTGTTGCATCGTCGGACGGGACATAGAAAACCGCATGTAAATTTTAATGGGGTCAATTATTGGCTTCCCTAATTATTTTAGAGAATAATTCTATTTAGGTTTATTGAAGAGCACTAAAACCCACATTCAAAAGAATAACTTTAGATATTTTTGATTAGCTCGTTTACGAGTTATCGCCGATTTCTTTTTAAATATTTCTCCTTTCTTATGGCCCTGTATTTACTTATTAGCACCAGTCAAGGTAAAATATAACTGTCAAATGAAGTTGTCGTTTCAGAAATTTACCTATTTAGTGCTTTATTATTATTGAAAACTCATTCCTACATCGGAAATCTTAAAAATGTATTTATAAGTAACAATTAGTATGAATTAAAGTAAAATAAAATAATCAATTACAAGGTTAATTATAGTATTATTACAATATTCAATAACTTATTAATTTAGTACTATTAAATTGTTAGAACTTTAGGATTTAAGATGTTCAAATATTCCTCCATCGACTGCTAGACAGTAACCCAGGCGATCATAAAATTCTCTTCTTATATTCGCTAGTTGGTAAACTGAAATTCGGCAGAAATAGCATTTTTTAACTCGTCTAGATTTGGGTATTTTTTATCCTTGTATATCTTGTTTTTTAAATGGCTCCAGAGAAAGAAATCATTTGGCGAAATATCAGGAGACCTTGCTGGCCAATTTACTGTACGATTTAGGCCAATGACGTTTCCGTTAAAACTATTGTCTAAATATTCCCGAACAGCCAGGGTACTATGTGCCGGGCAGCCATCCATTTGGTACCACACTTACTGATTTTCCCTAGCGGCATCATGTAAAGCAGGTAAAATATGATTTACGAATAGTTCCAAATAATATTCTACATTTAAATTTCGCGTAAGAAATAATGGCCCGATAATATTGTGTCCGAATATCCCTGCACAAACATTTACTTTCTGTGGATATTGCGTCCTTGTTTCGACAAACCTGTGTTGGTTTTCTTTGTTCCAATATTGATAATTTTGAACATTGGGTTCATTATTTAAGGTAAACATGCATTCGTCAGTGAAACATGTTTTTTAAAAATTCCCTATCCGTGTTTGCTCTTTCCATCATATCAAAACAAAACGCCTGCCGCCGTATTTCGCCCCATCTCGTAGTTCTTGGTGCTTTTCATATTTGAGGGAATAGTATTTATGTCGTTTCAAAATTCGAAACGCTGTAGTGTGATCTATTCCTATTTCATCCTCAAGTTTCCTTGTGCTGATCTTTCCATCGTTTTCTTCCACGCACAATAAAACTTCCAAGTCGGTATCATTTCTTGCATCTTCTCTTTGGTCCTGCCTTGCCTCACATCTGCAGTTATTTATTAGGGTACCTTTGGTCTCAAATCTCTGGATATTCCTTGCGATTGTAGATTTTCCAGGTATCGGTCTATTCGGATACAGAGCAGCAAACCTGTCCTTTTGATAACTATTTCCTTGATAATACCATTTAATCATCAATACTTTTTCTTCGGTAATGTAATTCATGGCTAATATTTTCGATGTAGGTATGAGTTTTTAATAATAATAATAAAGCGACATCGTCTGTAGATATAGAAGAAGTTTTGCTTGCCGTATCGGTGAGAACCAGCCCCTGGACAGCCCACCTGATGAAGGGTAGGCCCAGAAACCGGTTGTGGGAGTGGAGCTTGGTTCCCCCCTTTACGACAAGCAAAACAATTTTCGTTTTACTTTTTATTTTTTTTTAATTTTTTCTCTACTTTTGATTTTTCGAAATTAGAAAAAATACACAGCTAAAGGCAAAAAAATATTATTTATTAATATACACTAAAGCTGTAAGAATTTTGTTCATTTATATATTTGAGCGGGCCGAAAAACGCTCTTTACCATCTTTTGACGGGAGATGCACTAATATCTCACCGACACTTTACGACATCGTCTGTAGATATAGAAGAAGTTTTGCTTGCCGTATTGGTGAGAACCAGCCCCTGGACAGCCCACCTGATGAAGGGTAGGCCCAGAAACCGGTTGTGGGAGTGGAGCTTGGTTCCCCCCTTTACGACAAGCAAAACAATTTTCTTTTTTTTTTTTTTTTTAATTTTTCTCTACTTTCGATTTTTCGAAATTAGAAAAAATACACAGCTAAAAGCAAGAAAATATTATTTATTAATATACGCTAAAGCTGTAAGAATTTTGTTCATTTCATATATTTGAGCGGGCCGAAAACGCTCTTTACCATCTTTGACGGGAGATGCACTAATATCTCACCGACACTTTACGACATCGTCTGTAGATATTGAAGAAGTTTTGCTTGCCGTATCGGTGAGAACCAGCCCTGGACAGCCCACCTGATGAAGGGTAGGCCCAGAAACCGGTTGTGGGAGTGGAGCTTGGTTCCCCCCTTTACGACAAGCAAAACAATTTTCTTTTTTTTTTTTTTTTTAATTTTTCTCTACTTTCGATTTTTCGAAATTAGAATAAATACACAGCTAAAGGCAAGAAAATATTATTTATTAATATACACTAAAGCTGTAAGAATTTTGTTCATTTCATATATATATATATATATATATATATATATATATATATATATATATATATATATATATATATATATATATATATATATATATATATATATATATATATATATATATATACATATGGACGTCATCTGCTTTTTTTCTGTCATCGTCTGTCGAAATCTTACCTGAGAAAAAAAAACAGGGTATATATATTTTTCACATTTACAGTTATCAATGAGAGAATGGGACATTCCATTTGACGAACTTAAAGTTACCAAACCCGTAGGCACCGGTAGGTTCGGTACGGTGTTCCGAGGTTACTGGCACGGTGACGTAGCAGTAAAACTCTTGAGCGTCAACTACCTTCAAGACGAGAAGGCCCTAGAACAGTTCAAGATGGAGGTGGCGATATTTCGCAAGACCAGGCACGAGAATTTAATTCTTTTTATGGGAGCTTGCATGAAACCGCCCAAACTGGCGATCGTGACGAGTTTTAGCAAGGGAAACACCCTGTACACGCATATTCATCTTAGGAAGGATAAGTTTAATATGCATAGGACGACGATGATGGCTCAACAAATATGTCAGGTTAGTTTTAAATCAATTGACTGGTACAAATGAACTACCGATAAATCTATTTTACTTTAACAATATCTAAGTGCTTTTTTATACAAGGAAATGATTGACTTTTGTTATCAACTTTAAATGATATGTTTTTATGATACTAAGGCAAAGATTAGTCTTGGGTCGAGATTTCCGTATGTAAGAGGAGTACAATGCGTTTATAATGTACTGAACAAAGAGAGGACAGTAAACACGTTGCCAAACGTATGAAATAAACCGAGAAACTGTGCACATCGCTAAGAGACGTGGAAGGGGATATAGCAGATTTGTCGCAGTTGACCGGTCAACCCAATCAATACCTCTGTCAGTACTTAAAGTTCTAGGGAAAGGTGTATATCATGCGTTCAGCTTCACGATTTAATTACGTCTCGTGATACTTAATTTGTTTATTTATTAACGAGTCGTTGTAATTTTCCCTATAGCTTGAATTTTTTTAAGTGCAAGCTAGAAACACTTGCATTTTTGGTAAAAATAAGTGGAATTGAGTGGGTGTTCGATAGTGGTCGCGCTATTAGAAATCTGAATTCAAAAATCGATATCTTGAAATCTATTAGAAATGATAGATTGTAGTTTTTTCAAGAACTTTGTTAATATTTCTGCTGTATTTTCTTTGTAGACAGTATGTGAAAATCTTTATCAATAAAAAAATTACACGATTGCTGAAAATTGCTATGCTCTAAAAGTAAATGGATGGATTGTTTACAATTTTTGAATGGAAAAAGCAACCTTATCGAATTTTTATTATTATCGAATATATCGAAATGTAAACATATTGTAAAACATCCGATCTTGAAAATAAAAAAAAAGTTTCAATATCTAAAGTGGTTCTTGAGTTATGGCCTGTTATGTGTTAAAAAGTTGAGTTTTTAAATTATCGCGATTACTGATGTTTTCTCGTTATAAAAAAAATGACACCCTAACGATATCCTTATAATTCCATTTCAGATGTTCAGAAACATGTCTAATGATTTTATCTAGTTATCTCTTGAAAAAAAAGTCTTAAAAATAAGCGGTTTGCGATCGTGATTTTACTTTACTTGATAGGGAAAGGCGTATCGGCAACGCCGCAACAGCAAACCGTCGCGCGTCGCGTCGGTCGGTCGGTTGCATTTCTCTCACTCCGACTTAATAAGATCCCTATGCGATTTACTTCCACACATGTAAATGCCGACCCAAAAGTAACAGTTGCCAGCACGGTATAATGTAAAAATGCATTAATATCTAATGTGAATTTTGAATCTTTTAATCATATTATGTAATGTGAAAATCTTTGCTATTTTCCTAGCTAGTGATGCTTTGTATATTATCTTAAAATTCTCTTTTTAGGGTATGGGATATCTACATGCCAAAGGCATAATCCATAAGGATTTAAAAACCAAAAACATATTTTTGGAAAATGGAAAAGTTGTGATAACCGATTTTGGTTTATTTAGTGTAACGAAACTTTGTTTTGGACACAAGTAAGTAGCCAAATTGAACATATTTTTTTGAGAAACTATTTAAAAATGGAGTTTTATTTTTATTTTAGCCAAACGCAAAGTTTAAGCATTCCTCCAGGCTGGCTGTGCTACTTAGCTCCTGAAATTATGCGTAGTTTAGATGCTCACAGGTATCAAGAGAATGAGCTACCTTTTAGTAAGTCATCAGATATTTATGCTTTTGGGTAAGTGTATTTTATATTTATATTTATTAACCATGAATGGGTATTTTAAGATACATTAACTATTGAAAACAAATTTGAAATTTTGATTTGATTAATGATTGATTTGATAAAAAAAAGTATATTTTTGCTTTTAGTACTGTTTGGTATGAATTATTGTGTGGGGAATGGCCTTTTAAAAATCAACCACCTGAGGCTGTAATATGGCAAGTGGGAAAAGGGATGAAGCAACCATTAGCTAATTTACAAGCGTCAGGAGAAGTTAAAGTAAGTTCTAAACTTAATATTAGCATAGTATAAGAAAAATAGTAGCTTTACTCCTTGTCAAATCCTTTGTTCTTTTTCTGCCACTTTATATGACCCTGTTCTCGCGTCACGTGACCACTGACGTAGCTGTATAGTCGTGGTATATAACTAGGCAAAGTATAGTCGTGGCACTCGCCATAGTTTCACAGAGATGTATTAGGAAAATATTGAGTTCACAATAAAATAAAATAAAAAAGATTGATCATCGAGTAAAAATTTGCTTGAAAACAGAATATTTTCACATTTTGTATAAGTAACTTTTTCTTTATGTTGAAAATCTTTTTTTTTGTAAATATTTTTTTGTATTTTTCTGTATCTGATTATTCTGATGGGAAGAAATGCGGAAAAAATATATGACATATTTTTATATTATTATCTATTTCAAAGATTGTCTACAACTCTTTTTTAATTTAAAACAAGTTTAATTTTAACATTAATATTGGTTAGGTGATTTTCATTGGATAACTAATACATGGAACAACACATTGTATATATATATATATATATATATATATATATATATATATATATATATATATATATATATATATATATATATATATATATATATATATATATATATATATATATATATATATATATATATATATATATATATATATATATATATATATATATTTAGCTATATATATTTTCTATATTCGAAAATCGAAAGTAGAGAAAAAATAAAAAAAAATGAAAAGTAAAAAGAAAATTGTTTTGCTTGTCATAAAGGGGGGAACCAAGCTCCACTCCCACAACCGGTTTCTGGGCCTACCCTTCATCAGGTGGGCTGTCCAGTTTTACTTTTCATTTTTTTTTTCTCTACTTTCGATTTTTCGAAATTAGAAAAAATACACAGCTAAAGGCAAGAAAATATTATTTATTAATATACACTAAAGCTGTAAGAATTTTGTTCATTTCATATATTTGAGCGGACCGAAAAACGCTCTTTACCATCTTTTGACGGGAGATGCACTAATATCTCACCGACACTTTACGACATCGTCTGTTGATATAGAAGAAGTTTTGCTTGCCGTATCGGTGAGAACCAGCCCCTGGACAGCCCACCTGATGAAGGGTAGGCCCAGAAACCGGTTGTGGGAGTGGAGCTTGGTTACCCCCTTTACCAAAACAATTTTCTTTTTACTTTTCATTTTTTTTCCTCTACTTTCGATATTTCGAAATTAGAAAAAATACACAGCTAAAGGCAAGAAAATATTATTTATTAATATACACTAAAGCTGTAAGAATTTTGTTCATTTCATATAAACGGGATTTGGTATAAGTATTTGATACTTTTTTCCAACTACACCCTATTGCTGCCTTCCCGTTACCCTACGCCACACGTCTCGATTTAGTGCGTCATCAGCTTCTAGGTTATGAGCTTCCCTTGCTTCCATAACCGTTCCGTTCCAGGATTTTCTAGGTCTGCCTCTCTTTCTTCAACCCTGGGGAGTCCATTGAAAAACTTTTCTTAGCCACCTGTTCTCCGGCATACATAGAACATGTCCAAACCACTTTAAGCTGGATTTTTCAATTCGATCCAGCACTGTCTCCTCCGATGCATTCATGATACGCCTGACCTCGATGTTTGTCTTTTTTTCCATCCTAGTTATACCTGCGCTCCTTCTAAGATAGTCCATTTCAACAACTTGGATTTTGCGCTTCGTGTCTGCACTCAAAGTCCATAGCTCTGAACCATAGCAAAGAACTGACTCCACCAATGTTCGTCCAAGTCTCTTTTTAGTTGTTGCAGACAAGTTTCGGTCCCACCAGAGGCTATTAAGACAACCAATAACTTGTTTGCTCTTCTGAATTCGGGTTTGAATTTCTTCTTTGCCCAAACCGTCGTTGTTGATAGTAGCACCCAGGTATTTAAATTTGTCTACTTGTTGAATCTGGACGTTATCATCTATGAAGACTACAAAACAAGCGTTGGAATTGACAGCTAAGTATTCTGTCATTTTTAGACTAACCTGAAGTCCCCATTTGTTATATTCTTGGTAAAGCCTCTTAGTCATGAACTCCAGATCGAAAGAGTCCTGCGCAATCACGACCTGATCGTCTGCAAAGCTCAGAGTAAACAGTGTATCTTCCCCAATGGGTATTCCCATGCCTTGGCATCTCGTCTTCCATTCCCTAAGGGCTACTTCAACGTAAGCATTGAAGATTAGAGGTGATAAGCTGCATTCTTGTCGCAACTCTTTTGTGGTATTTATTGGATTGGATAGCCTGTGTCCTATCTTAACGTACGCTTTATTTTCTTTATAGAGCTCTTTTATTATCTTAAGTAGGGGTCTATCTACTTCTAAAATATTCAAGGCTTCCCATATCTTGTTGCGAGGAATAGAGTCGTACGCTTTCTCCAAATCAATAAACGCTAGATGGACTTCTTGATCTACTGCTATCTTTTTTTCCATCACCTGCTGTAGGACAAAGAGGTTATCTGTGCAAGATTTCCCCGGTGTGAATCCGTTTTGATTTTCCGAGATTTTGTCACCAATATTATCCCTGAGCTTACCCTGCAGAACTTTTCCAAAAAGCCTGCTCACTGAACTGTTAATGCTCAGGCCTCTATAACAACCGGGGTCGTTGCGATTTCCCTTTTTAAAAATAGACACTATATGAGCCACTCTCCATTCTTGGGGTAGTTTATTTTGCAGACAGCACTGGTTGAACAGCTCTGCCAGGCGCCAGCGCAATTTTGCTGGCGCCTGAAATTGCGCTGGCGCCTGGCAGAGCTGTTCGCATTGAAGATTAGAGGTGATAAGCTGCATTGCGCGAAATTGCGCTGGCGCCTGGCAGAACTGTTCAACTAAATAATAAAATAACATATTTAAACATCAATAATTGCTAATAAACATTACAGAAATTTCAAAAGAGAACAGAAGGAAGAACAATAAGAAATAACATCACTACTTTCTCGCGTAATAAAAGAATAATTTTTTAGTTATTGTTACCGAGTCCCGAAGGTACCGGAAAGAACCGGGAATTAATAATTTCGAGTCCCGGTTCTTTGATATCTCAAAAGAACCGGGAATTTCCGGTTCTGAACCCTAGCTACCATATATTATCAAGAAATTATGTTTTTTAACTAAAAACTAAAAAAAATTCCGATATTCGGCAGATTGTAAAAGCTGACAGAAAATATTTGAGAGAGTGCAACTACTCTTTTCCGTCTACTATTACTGGACTTAATTTATCATCATTCCCTGTAGCATACTCTACTGCCGAGACAGTTATGTCCGGATATGGCATTTGACATTTAATTAACAAAAACGTTGCTTTTCGTTGCAAAAACTTCACGAATATTCCCATCACATACTTTTTTCGCGGAAACAGAGATTTATGACATACACTACAGACCCAACTAAGAAAAATATGTCGCTAAAAATCGCTTATAGTATTTTGGTTTTATTTCAGGAAATTCTAATGATTTGTTGGCAATTTAAAGAAGATAAACGACCAGATTTCCCTAGGCTGTCTGATATCTTAGGTAAATTGCCTAAGAAGAAGCTTGCCAGAAGTCCATCACACCCCATACACCTGAGCAGATCTGCTGAGTCTGTATTCTAAAGTAGAAGTCACCTATTATATGGTAATACATTTGGTATATTGTTCACATTCGTTATTTCAAATGAAGATTTTATATTTTGTTTTTATTAAAATTTAATATTTAGTATGTGCCAAAAAGTTTAATACAAAAATGAATAAAATATTGAAAATAAGTTGACATGGAATCATTTAGCTAACAAATTGACGTATGTCGTGACAAATATCTTGTTGGAAATTGCAAAAATGTTCTTTAAATTTGGAGTTAATTGACATGATATTAAAAAGTTTCAAAAAAAAATCGCTGGAACCTGTTTTCAAGTCGATAAATGTCCGCTAGGGGGCGCGTCTGTTATTTTGTCGTTTATTATTTGACAATAATTATCCTAATGTCAGTCATTATTTTGTATATTATCGTGTTGTTGTTGAATCTTTGTGAGTAATTCTCGTTTTTTTTGCCTATTTTCATACTCTTTTTAAAAATTGTACTTTAAAAGCACAAATAGTTTTTTAAAGAACTTTTTCGAGTTTTTATATTGCATTTCTTGAAATTGTGTGTTGAAAATATGCCAAAGCATGTAAACAGTCGAAGCAAAGAGCTTTGTAGCTTCATTGATAAACTATTTTGAATGAGAATGTGATAATAAAGGTCCTTTATTACCCTTGACTGCAGTCAGAGAATTATGTTTGATTAATAAGCACATTACACCAGTTTCAAAGTTATTTCTACGTTAGTTTTTATTAAATTCTGTGATTATTAGTTTGTGCATTAATAGCACATATTCATAATGGACTAGTTTTTGCCAATAGTAATAAGTAAAATAAGCTATAAAACAAATAAATCAATTAATTACTAAAATATTAGTTATTAAATTAAAAATAAAACGTAAAAATCTTTAAAAAATGATATAATAAATATATTGTTTGTCACTTTTAAATTAAGATTCATCTCATAAATCCATCACAATCTGGCAGCGCTGTCGCCATCGGTTATCACTCAAAGTTGATTACGTGCATCGGAAATTGTTTTGAGATTACCATAAAAATGTATGTTGGCTATGAAATAAAAAGACATAGGTTACATCAAAATATTAAAACCAAATCAAAACGTTTTAGTTTCGTGTTAATGTCATCTAGTTGCTATTTACCCAAGTTTATCGTTGATTTTGTTTGTTGTTCGTGTTTTTCCTGTGGGTTGCGTTTTATTTTTTGTATTAAGTTTATATTGTTTCTATCTTTTGCTATTACAGTTGCTGCTAGGGCATAATATGCGTAACAATATCCTGATAGACAGCACTCCAGAAAAGAGTTTTTCTACAAGTAATTCACCGTCTGCCAAGAAGTATAAGCATTCTTTTACCTGTTTACTGTAGGCAAAGTAGAGATCTTTTTGGTTGGGTTTGGTTTGGCTGGGGTTTTGGTAATTTTGTGCTTTATTTAACTACATAAAATGAAACATGACCTGCAATTTAAAACTTTTATGCAAAGATGCAATATAAATAACAAAGTTTAACCTTCCCCCTCCACTTTATTTTTTGAGATAGCAAAAAATGCTATATTAAAAAAGATACAACTTTCCTAATGATTACAATAGCAATATATAAAATAATTCTTTACGTGCATTTTTTGTGAAAAACATTGATTTCTCTTTAACCATAATAGGTACACCCCCTACGGACATTTTTCGCACTTGAATATAATTTCCAGCAATCTGATAGTGGCCGATTTACTTAGTAGATTTTTCACAAAGTTATACGCCAAGTAGTTTCTAAGATATAGCAGGCGTCCATTATTAGTTGGCCATACGGCACACAAAACTTTTTTTGCAAATAAATTAGAAAGTAACAGTTTTAGTACGTTTTTATATCTTTATTAATACCACAAATAATAAATATTGTGGCCATGTCACGTAACTCTACTTTTTACATATTTCAAGGATTATTTCGTAAATTGCTGCCATGACAGTTGGCTGTCACATTAGATAAATATGTTATTTTTATTAGTGTTCCTTATTTAATCCCGGGATTTACTAAAAACTGTTCCCATTTGTTCTAAACTTTTTGGCACGCCCTGTATAAGATGAAACGATAATAAACTATGAAGCAAAATGTTATGAAAATATTCCATACCTTGTTTGTAGTTTGTCTTATTCAATATTGTTTAAAAAATTAAAAGTTTCACTATAATTTTTATACAGTCTGTATCAGCCCAGTCAGTGAAACAAGTGAATTTTATATATACCGGATGGCGTCTCAAAAGTGGCTCACCCCCTATAACTTTTTTAATTTTTCATTTAAAAAAAACGATATTTGGTATGATATATCATTCTATTCAGAATGTCATTTTCTATCGAATAAAGTAAAAAAATACCGAGGGTTCCATGCAAAAATCAAAAATTGTAGTCATTTCCGGTGAAACAGGAAGTGACACAAAAACAATTGAATACGTCAAACAATCCTAATTTATGTCATATACTAAAATACCACCATCTCGTTTTTTTTATAGGGGTGAGCCACTTTTCAGACGCACCCGGTATATTTTTTATTTCCGCCTATGGCTTTAATTTAATAATTAGGATCTTATTACTTTTTCCTAGAAGAAATTACCAATTTCATTTAGGAAAATTAACACACATTTCCTATATCTTATAAAAACATACCAGTGAAAAATTATTCATAAATTATGTCTGAATTATTATATTTTTACATTTTAAATGTTTGTATGTCCATAGTTCATTGTTGTTCTTTTTTAAAGTTTCCATCTTTTCTTAAAACTAAGTTTCCCTTCATATCGTTTGTGTTTGAACTTCATTTATCTGTGATTAGTAGTACACTTTAAGTGTTTTATGCTTATGAACTACTCAAGTGCCAGTTCAGGACATTTGAACTAATTATTGTCGTAGGCAAAGTACCCAAAGCATTTAAAATTAGCGAAGGCTCTTTAATAAAATATCAAAATTAAAAAAAAATCCAAGTTTCGAAAAACGTTAATAAAATAACTGTGTTTCCATATAATTTTCGTAAATTTTATGACATATTTTTGCTGTGTGTACTTTTCCTCTTTCTGTATTCTAAATGTCTAATACGGGTTTACTCACCATGTTGTTCGAACATTTTTCCTAATTAATTGTGTTGATAAATGTGTAGGGGACAGTAGAACTACTTTTAAGAAAATTATTGCCTTATAATAAGAATTCTAATATTTAAATGTTGAAGACATTATAGCTTTAAATTTGGTTTCAATAGAATTATTTAATGCTTTTATCCATGTTTTTATCGTTTTACACGTATTTGTAATTGTTTTTACATGATTATTTTATTTAATAAACAGATTTGAAATTCAAATGGAGACTTGGTAATAGTTTTGTAAATCGTTTTTATCTATTTTCAATTTATATTGAATTACTTAAACAATGTTTTTAAGTTATAGAAATTAACATCGTTCATTTAATTTATTTATTTTAGTTTGTAAATACCATATGAAATAATAATTTTATTGAAACCTCACATTTTTTATTTGTAATTAACTGTATCATTGTACATTGTTTTTTGCCTTTCTACATATACATATATATACATATATTGCAAATTAGATGTAAATACTTTTTCTGTCCGAACTGGGGACAGCAATATTGTACATACGTTGGAGAAGTTATTGAAATTGCATTCCTAAATTTTTCTTCAAGCTCTAGTCAATTTTATGAAGAAAGCATTAAGCCAGTGGCAGAACGGAAGAGGTTTCTGGCTGCTTATTTTTCAAATTCAACTTATTCTGATCAATGTAAAATAATAGACTAGGGTGAAAATTAAAATAAAACAAAAGTGATACAGTCGCATTATTTCAAAAATATCCTTCCAGTTAAAGTAATGCATTATATGAGCTATTCTTTGTGTGGTAATAATTCGCATATTTCAGAGTTATAAACCCATGTAGAATGAGTAAGAGGGGGTTAATCACTGCGACCTTAAAGATCTATCGTGTCCCCCTTTCTTGAGTTATAGCTCATCGTACAGTCTATAACTAATAAACAGTATGGGAACAGAGTATTTCTCATCGTCCGCTGAGAACAGGTCCTACGTGGGTATTATACATCCTTCCACGGTTGGGATTTAGCCCTCCGTGTCCTTCACAATCGAGGAGCTTGTCTCTGGCTGAGGTACCCGTGAGGTGGAGGCTGGAGTATGTGACTCCATTTTCTCCACCTCTTTAACTTGGTCTCTCCTTAAACCTGATACCGGTGTTGTCCCGGTATCAGGTTATATTCGTCTTTCTTTATTGCATCCTTGTATTTGAGGTCAATTACACCGCAAGGGTTAGTCGGTCCACTTTTACAGAGCCCTGCATGTAGAAGTAAGGGAGACGAGAATACATTCTATTGCCCCCTGGTGCCCCAAGGTTGAGACCAGCAGAGGCTAGTTTTCTATCTAACCACGCATCCCTTTGATCTGGTCCCGCCATCATAGGATTTAGTTTTTTGGTGAGGTTGTCTCCTCTTGGTCCGGGCGATTAAGCTAAGACCCCCCCACACCCTCTGCCCGTGATACATGACCCCAGCAGTAGAGGGTGCCTGGTATGACGGACAGGGTAGTCCCATCCGGCATGCATCGTTATACGTCTTGGCAGGGGCGACTCGTAGCTCTGGAAGATGATGAGGCACCTTAGAAGAGAATTTTTACATAGGGTGGCCATTCGTGCGAGGAAGTCCAATATCGTCGTAGTTGACAAATAGATGAAAAAGTTCTATATAAAAAAGTGCATATCCTAAAAAAATATTTTCTTTAAAATTGCAATCGCATTACCATTTTTCTGACAGAATTGGGTACTGTCAGAGTACATCACACTATTGATTTATTTGAAGCACTATATATGTGGGATTTCCATGATAATTAATATTTGAAAAATTAAGTGGTATAAACCTGGAGCAAGGTATGTAGGATAAAAGTCCGAGAAAAATTCACATTTTATACAGAGATTTTTTTATGGCGCGGCCAACATTCCATAGCCACGACATTACAGCCAGGGACAAGACAACAAGATGCTCCTTAGACCCAGTCAAGGTGCCAGAGGTGAATCCTCCTAGCACCTGACTAGGGTCTTCCCCACCAATGATAACGTCTCGCATCTCCTAGAGGAGGTATAAACCCATAAA